ATCTTTAACTTTGGGAATAAGCCTCCAGCCCCACAGCCTGTGTTTAAAAATCCTTCCAGTAATTCATACACAGCCTTAAGTTTGAGAGCATTTATATAAAGAATACAACATCATCTCTGGTAACTTCCAGTAGCTTCTACTTAGAGAGGGTACTTCCAAGCAAGCCACTCTATACAAAACCGTCATCACCATGGAGGTGGACAGAGGAGCACATTTCAATCACCTCTGGGTTTTGGAAAGGCTTTGTCAGAGGCCCTGACTCTTACGCAAGGTCCTGAAAGGTAAATGCTACTTAACAGAAGTAGAAGGGGAAGGACATTCCAGAAATAGATGAAAATATGGGCAAAGGCATGAAGAAAATAAAGGTAAGACATTTGGGAAGAAAATTCAGTGATTTGATAGGATGGGAATGAAAATTGCATGTGAATGGGTGGAGCCATAGAAAACAGGCAGCTTCCAGACCTTGAATTAAAAAGAATTATGATTGAAATAGTGAAGCCATTGGATAAAATTATATTTTGGGATTTTTTTTAAATGGCTCATGTAAACTAGAGCATTAGTTTTATCTCGGTATCTTGAATAATAGTGTGATAATAGATTAGGAAAATAGACTAGGATAATATTTATTTTTTAATTTTGTTTATTTATTTAGAGACTTTTGCCTTAGGGCACATGTGCTCACTGGAGAGAAAGACAGAGTCAGATACAGTGAGACGGAAAGCAAGAAATCATCTCCCAGAGGGAATGGCCACACGGCAATCCCTTCTCCTTTATTCTCCTCCTGGGATCTTGGGTATACAAGCTCCTGTTATCCTGGCTGACTGAGAGAGAAATGGATAGAATTCTCTAAATCGTGTCAAGGGTGCTGTATCTCTGCATTTCTTTTTCTCTATCTCTCTTACTCATCAAATAAATAAATAAATGTTTTTAAAAATGGCCGAAACTTAAAATTGTAACTGATACAGTTAAAGCTATAGATTCAATAATGGTTAGAACAATATGAGTGAGTCTGAAGTATTATGAAAAAAAATAAGCAAAGGTAGG